GGGGGAGAGAACATCTTTTCTGTAGGGCAGGCTGCAGCGTATAAAGAGAACTTGAGGTGTTCGTTTACATGAGCTCACTCGAGAGCCCTTTAAAAAAATGCAGCATAATCTTCCTAAATGGGACAAGCTTCACTGAAACTCACAAAATATGAACAAGAAACTTTTTGCAACAATGATGCCCGACTATCATTAGCAAATGAAAAATTCACCACCTATGCACATATTCATACGTTGAAATCCATCTGTCAAGTCACTCTTCAGATTTTCTCCTCAGCAGAGTAAAAAATCATTGCATAAGGCATGTCTTGTTTTCTCTTGCCATTCCTTTTTCTTTTTTTTTTTAAATGTTTCATCTTGCGAGGTTACATCACGCTGTGTAGAATGCCAGGCTGCTTCTCGCATCCAACGGCGCTTACAGTAGATCATTGTGCCTCCACAGCTTGACGCTAACCAAGTGGGGCTGTGACAGCATATGTGTGGGCCGCAAAGCTGGACTGATCGTGAAGCCAGGAACCCGAGTGATCACTCACGTGAATATAGACCACTATTTCCCAACCGACACCAACCCATCACTCATTTCTTTTTTTAATCCAAAGATGACACATCAACAGCGCAGGCATGCGCCATTCGGTCTGCGTAAAAAATACGCTTCGGGAAACGAACATTGGGAGTTTTTTGGCAGACGAACTAGATTATGAGCCACGGTAATAGCAGAGCTGTCACTACCCCTAATCAGTTTGATTAACAAATGAAAAGCTTGGATGATTTGGATCTGACCTTTTGTCGTTCATATTTACGCACACCAAAGCCCGATGCGTTTGTTTATTGCAGATATATTAATGAGGTTTGACGACTATAAATCAGTTGTGAAGAAGCTCCGATGCTGTTATTCCATGTCTTGAACACACACACACACACACACACACACATACTATAAATCAGTTGTGAAGAAGCCCCGATGAACACACACACACACACACACACACACACACACACACACACACACACACACACACACAAAAAAGCTTTGTGGAGGTAAAGTGAGTGCACCAGAGCACAGGTGCAACGTGAAAATGGGGAAGCGCCAGTTGGGCTCATATGTGGCCTGTGACTATTGAAGCAAGCAAATTGAATTTGACATCTCCCTCTCTGTCTGTCTTGTTGACTGTGCGCGTCCGTGCATCAGACTAACGAAAAACCAAATAAGCAACAGACTGCCGCAATGATGCTCACCGTTAGCGCTGCATTTTCAGAGCGCGTGTTCATTATCGTGAAGGACAAAATAACTCTGGTCACGAGTATGTTATTGACAAAACATGTTGGATTCTGAGAGTGGAGTGACAGTGGAAGACAAATATCCTCCCATAAACGTGCATTTTCCCTTTACTGCAGTTTTTACCAAACTCCCAACTGAGACTAACTGAATTAGTAAAGCGTGTCTTCTATTTACCCTGCACACACACATTTATTTGTCGAGGTAGCCAGAGAATGCGCATGCAAGTGCTGAACCGTATATTCAGTCTTCCGAGATGTGACTTCATGCGTTATTTACAGGCCGAACGTTGGTTTACTTTGAGCAGTGCTACATGTTTAATGAAGCATCTGTCGGCCACTTTGAGATGATTTACCTCCGCTCATTTGCAACCAATAAGCACGTGGCCGTGTTTCGAATCAAGCGCAACCTCATCTCCCATGCATGACACACTTATTGTACTGCAGGTGGCGACAGCTGCAGTTCCGTTTGCTTTCCCATCGTCAATGCTTAAATTTTTTTGTTTTTAAATGGTGCAATCGTGACTAAATGATGTTTGTGAGTTGGTACGCTTATGGAAAAGACTTAGCAGAGGGCCTCCTGGGACAATAAAAGCAAAAATGTGCAACGTGAACTACATGTACGCCTGTGGAATAAAATGTTCCAAGTGGGAAATTAGCCTTAACGCTTCATACGAAGACAGATATGCCAACACCTGCTTGTTGAGCCCGCACCTGCCTCTCTCTTTCGTGCTATTTATTTATTTATTTTTGCGGGGCTTGCGGCTTTTAGGTTTTTCTCTTCAGAAAAAAAGGATCTTATTTCTCTACTGCAAATGGATTCTCTTTGGATAAGCCTTACCATGAGTTAGCACCTTATAAGCATGCTAATAAGCATGCTACATGCGATCCATTTTCTCATTTATTATACTGCTCAACATTTCATATTCTATCGATTTTATAGGCTGACATATAAATGCTGCATATTTCTTGCAGGGAACCATTTTTAAAAAAATTATATCACAAGTATATGTTCCAACCAGCCACGAAGAGACTCCCCTCAAGGAGTTACTGTAAGTTACGCCCAATCAAAATCGCAGCATTAGCATATTTTACAGTATCAAGGCTACTAATATGCCAAGGGGACATGCAAACAGAGCTGCAAGGCTTTTTCAACATGATTTACATTCATATCCACATCACCCATACTGATCAGATTATGAAAAAGCATTACTTCAAAAAAGAGATTATATTACTTATAGGTCCACAGAACAGTTCGTGGATATTAGACATGCAGACATATTACACAATAGAAAAGTAAAGCATCCATCCAGCTGGCTACCGTAATTGGAAACAGCATGAAGCATTGCAGCACTAATCATAACAGTCATGAACAAATTTTTAGTATCCATCCATCCGGTTTACATAGGGCTTTTCTCTTCTGAGCTTCACAGTTCAAGTAGAGCCAACTGACTTCAAGCAGGGTACAACCTTCACTGGTTGCCAATCAGTGGCAGGACACATAGGAATGCATGCTAACCACTCATCCACCACCCTTAAGTTCCTTCTTACGGTAACATAACATTTGCTTTGACATTATCGACATGAGAGGTTGCACTCTCGGAAAAAAAAAAACCTAGAGAAAAGTGTACTTGACTTTCATTGGTAAAAAAGGCCACATTTAGAGTCAATAGAGCTGCCCAGGGGCTTGAAAGCTTAAATGCATTCAGTGTGTTCAGGATCCCCAATGACTGCGAGAAACAGCTCTCTCTCTCTCTCTCTCTCTCTCTCTCTCTCTCTCGCTCTCTCTCTCTCTCTCTCTTTCTTTCTTTTTCGGGTGTCCGCCACACAGCCTCTGATATTAGACGTGGGCTACCAGAGGTTGGAAGGCATAGCTCAATGGTGCATAAGCATTGGAATATGTCGGGGGAACGATCCCAGTCGAAAGCAAAACTCATCTGCTCAGATTGCAGCCTGAGACTTGAGTGAGCGTGATGAAAGAGAAAACTGGGAGGAACTGTCTATGGTGCTGATTGGTATCGCGCCCAGCGCCATCAGAACTGTCCATGGTGCTGAACATGACTTCTCTGTTTCTAAAACGCAAACGCGGTTAAACCGTTGCATCATCGCCAAGATTATAAGAATAGGGTGGCAGTCCACACAAAAAAAACCAAACAAACAAAAAACCCAATCAAAATAACGTTCATTAAACTGCATTAGAAGCAGCAGCGTATGAAATGTCAGGTACTTGGGCTTTTTGGGAACTTTTTGATGGAATGTTTTTAGATCCAGATCAATTTGGCCCACGGTTTTAATTCAACAACAACACTTGATCAGATATTTGCTTGTAACATTTTCTAGTCTCAAATGCTTCCCAAAATTTTAGTCTACCCAACTCTACTTTTATTTCTTTTAGCATGCGGCTTAATGCTGCTGTGGAGGGAGCGTGTGTGTGGGGTGAAATCACGCGTGCGTTGATCCGCGCTGCAGTAACGTGCCTCGGCTCCCTCTTGCCAGCCCCGCAGCCTTCTTCTCAATCTGCATTCACGCCGAGGCTGCTTTCACATCCCATTAGGTGTGTAATTCTAAAACGCAACATAGGGAGGCAGTTTTCATTCTTATTTATTTGTATATGGTTTCTGTGCTCGCTTTATTATTATTTTCTTTGTTTGTTTTAAACCATCTTTTTGTTTGTTTTGGACGATCTCGAGCCTGGCTGCGCTCCTCGCGTTGGAAATAAAAAAGGGGGGGAAAAAGCTGCGTGATGCATCGTGGGCTGGGAAACCACTAAACAAGACGGGCATCTGCACCAGGCGCGGAGACGAAAAGATGGTGAGGATGACGATGGCGGCGGCTTCACCAAATTTCGCCTCCGAGTGCTCGACGGCCATGGCGAAGCCTTCTTCCCTCGCGCGCAAGCTCTTCCTATGGCTCTTCATTGCAGTCAACCTCCCCACCAGGTAAGCGAAACGGTATTCTCATTCTTCCCTGTCACTGTGAGCTAGCGTTAGCCTTCGCCTAGCCGACGATGCTACCACCAAATTTAGCCAAATGTCACAACGTCGTTCCCGTTCGTATTCGTGTGTCTAACGTCACTCCGTAACACACCCACACGATGCCCGATAACGTGTTATATATGTGTTATACATGAAAAAAGAAGGATAAATGAGCCTAAAGCCCACATCGAGCGTCATAATCAATATTTAAGGGATATTTTTTTTCGTGATTCGAGGCTGCTGTTAAAATAGCACAGGCGAGCTAAAGGGATGCTACATATAGTGTGCACTAAGCCGTTTGTATGGATCAAGTGTATTTAAGTCAAAAAGCCGCAGGGCTCTTACGAACATGCAACTCTGTGTTAAGAGGGATACAGAAGAAGAAGAGAGAAGAGAGCAGGTTGTGGACGCTCTTTGAAATGTGTTTTTTTTTTTTTTTTTCAAAATGGCAGGCGGTTATTACAGTATTAAGGCACAGCATATCTGCAGAAATCTCTCCTGCAGCTTATACTATCAATGCACTGTGTGCGTTTCCATTGCTGTTGTGCCTGTTCGAACATTATTTATTGGGATAGTTAAGATGGAGGGCCAGAGAACGGATGGTTAGTCGTCTGTTTCGAGACACAGAGGGAGGAAAAAGAATGGAGGCATATCCGCTCTCGGGTCACTCCATTAGGTACACAGGCTCGATACGTTCACTGTCAGAGCTGATTTCAAGATGATTCCTTTACAAAGATTATTCCTTTCTAAATTATATATTGCTTTATTCAATTCGATTTTGATTGGTCTGCAGTGCATCATACTGAGGGGTGTTCATACTTCAATTTCCAGTATGGCATTAATAAAATATTCAGCCAACTATCTATCGACAGTATCTGTCTATTGGTAATCATAGTGCCATACACCGGTTTGAAACAACTTTGTTATACATTCTCATAAATATAGTATGTTCCTCAACCGTGGCCTCTGCTCAAGGATTTACTTTAAAAATTGCTGCGCCATCCAATTAAAGAATGAAACGCCTCACCTCAAATAAATGTCTTGGCAAACAAAATTACTAAAGGGGAAGTCAACAAAAATAATTTGATTTACAAAAATCTGTTCTACGCAGCCCGCTAGTCTAAGCACAGTCTTCTGATTAATATGCTTGTGGAATTTGAATTAACCTGGAAAAAAACTCCCGTCCTTGCCGTTAATGGGAGATGACATCACAGTTGCTCAGGCCTCAGAGATGAGCCTCAAGTCAGCAACTTTCAGCTAACTTTGGACTCCTCTGCTAGAGGCGAATTTTGTTTGTTACCGCTACGACAGGTAGCAGCGATCGGGGCCGAGTCAAGTTATTAGCATTAAGCTAACGTTAGATTGAACTGCCAGCTTCCACAGCGACACATTATGTCAACCACAAAAATGAGCAGATTTCATTTATCAGTCTGAAAGTGTTAATCAAAAATTAACTTTTTTTGGGGGGGGGGGGATTTTGATTGGATCTTGTTTGTGTAAGCATATGACATGTGGCCTGTGGGGGTAAATCAGTCAATGTGACGATTACCGCCTTGCTGCTGTTATTGTTTGAATATGTTCATGTGATTGCACTAGTTAATTTGTGTAGTGATTAAACTTTGTCATCGACTCAAACAGCATCTGTTTTCTTCAGCAGCAACACTGAAAATCTAAAGATTAGATTCATTGTATGTGACACTCAAATAAGACGTTTTTCTCAAGGCTCCAGGTCCGCTTTCGTAATATGCTACTTTGTGACTCATTGGCAGTTACTATATGTTGTGAGGTCTGATTGCATCACTCAGCATGAAACGACACGAGTACTGTTTCACAGCAAAGTGACCACAGGGTCCAACTTGGAAATACGTGATGCCATTTGGAATGCAGAAATTAAGGAAGGCCTCAGAGTAAGCAAAGATGCTATAACGCATTACTTCAGTTCTCCTGTCAGTTCAACAAACGTGACTTGTGTTGCCGGCTACATTTAACAGAAATGTTTTGCAAGGCTGTTTCAGAAAACATTCACTTGGATACTGTTGTTGCTCGAAAACGTGCTATCTTTGAGTTTTGAAAGGTATGCCATTTTACCCCCAAAATTGTTTTGTGTTTTTAAAACAAGTTTACTTGGCAAGTGTTCTTACTTGATATCACGGAGGAGTCGCATGCAAGTAGTCGGTGGAAACAAATTGGTATAGGTACGTCACAAGTAATTATGGAGTCGTCCAATTCATTCTCTTGAATTGGAAACCCCAATTGCATGGCTCCATTGATAGCGGTTGAAAAGTCGTGTCAAGACGCCCAATTTTGAAACACTGTGATTATGATCTGCATTTCTTGATGCTCACTATGTAGATGTCAGATTTCACATTTTCCCGTTTCAACGGGACAAAAAAAAAAGGGGAGGCGAAGCTGCCACTTTGCTTCCATTTGAGAGAGTCTGTTGTATTCATCACCAAGGTATTGAGGTCAGAATCATTTCAGATTGGAGGGTCGGAGGTGGCCGCAGAGCTGGCCTGTGCTCACCCCAGTTGGCATGGCGATCACGCCAAAGTGAGACCAGAGGAGGCGACTGCACGTCACAGGCTTCGTTTTCTCGCCTGTGTCGGTCCCTGCTGTCGCTGACCCTCTTAGTTCTGTCTTGAATTTAGGCGCACATTTGTTTGCATTGTTAAAATATATTCACACCACATTTGTTTCAGAGCATTTTGATAGCCACGACACCTAAAAGGAAATCATTCAAAGATGTATGCCCTTCGTAGGTTGTAAGTTTTTGTCAATTTTTATCGACCTTCCAAATTGTCTGACTTTTGCCGACCGATCTTCCACTGTATAGTTTGTGACTTTCCTAAACGTTCTTTTCTCGCACTGTCGTCCTATCAATACGCTCTTTTCGATCTCATTATGTTGTGCCGAATGAAGTGTCGGTTGAACGCATGCGATCCGGTTTCAGTTGAACCCATAAACGGCCCTGCTTTCCCTGCCAGAGGTCACTTCAGAATATAACAGCACTGACCCACTTGAAAATCCTTTCGCTGTCTTGTGCATGGTCACACAGTTTTGTTTTTTTTTGTCTTATGAAGTAGCTTTTTTTTCTTTTTTGTCTAAAAAGTAGCATCAGATGGATTTTGATTTTTGTGACTCACTAAAAAGTGGCTAATGGCGCTGTGTAGGAGGACTGTGGTCACTGCCTGACATCCAAAGCGGGGGCTGTTGTTTTGCTTCATGGGCGTAGAACTAATTTCATGTTGAGCGGCGATAAGCACAAACGTTCATTTGAGTTGGGTACGTTTATTAGCCATGGTGCGAGTAAAACATGCAAACGCATGCTTGTATTGTCTCACTGAGGGATGCTCATGTGGATGCTAATGGACAACACTCATGATATTGTGATCATCTTTATGGATGGAGCTTGGCTTGATGCGAAACGCGGCCATCGCTTTAGTTGAGATGAGTCCGCCGTTTTTTTTTTTCAGTGCAGAGCCAATGCAATTTCTTCTTGACATGCGATGAGAAATACGGAAAGCTTTGAAGGAGATATTTCAACCCAACGCTGTTCGTTGAGCGCTCACAGACGTGCACATGCATATGCATGAAAAACAAACTTTGGCTCGGGCGTCTCAGCGGACCTTCAGGTACTCAATTAGCAGGCAAGACCACAGATCTGCGTGTGCTGAAGAACACGTGGCTGTTCCCTTTGATCTGCATACATCTGGAGCTTTTCCACGTACACTGAGATGCAGTGGAACCTCTCATATCACACTCTCCTGTGGTCGCACAATTCAGAATTGGACCAACAATAATTGAAAGCCGACACCAGTAAAGTCACTCGAAACTGTTGGAAACAGCATTGCGGGCCTAAAAGGATTATGTCTGAATCTGGTTTGCTTTTTCTTTGGCTTTTTGTGACCCTCATCGCTAAAAAGCCTGAAAAAAGAGTGCTGAAGGAAAATAAGAACATGAAAAGATTAAAAGAATATACTGCACATTTGTTCTTATGCTTCTGAAACAACATGTTATACATGCATACATACATACATACATACAAGTGGCTAACTAGCTGTGCTAACTCATTTTTGCACTGTAAATCCAAACTTGAATTTGGATCCTTTCTTTGTACTACCCGGGGTAGACATTTTCCAAAGAGGCCACCTGAGTAATATAATTCAGATTTAATGTTTGGGCCGGGACGTCCAAGTGGAAATGGATGGCGCATGATGGCTCTTTTAGGCAATCTAAGGAAAAGTGCAGGTCAAACTCTTATTCCTGGCTCTCAGCCTGGGAACATGAGAAAGCTATCAGATCTGTGAACCTGCCCCCCCCCCCCCTTTTTCATCCTTTATTATTTTATCCACAAGCCTTGTTTCCGCTCATCGCCCTCAAAGCCTTGCTAAAAGAAAGCTCAGAGCTTGTTCAAGACTGCTCCTGTGTGCTGCGGGCCACCTCCCCAATCTATAGCGATGCTTTCCGGAGGTGGACCATCTCTGCACTATATTGGAATTCTATTTCGGGCAACTGCGTGTGTGTGGATGTGTGTGTCTTTGTCTTTGTATGCCCACATTTTCCCCTTCGGCCTTCGTGTTGTTTCGACTGCTTGACCCTATTCTGCATGCAGCGCCGGGATGGTTTTCAGATAGCTCACATTCACTAATGTGATCTTTAAGCGTACGCATAAACTAAACTTAAATGTTTGATGGACCTTTGTTTTGTTTTTTTTTTTTTTTTTTTTTTGGCGTACGCATAAACTAAACTTGAATGTTTGATGGACCTTTGTTTTGTTTTTTTGTTTTTTTTAGTCCTATCCCTTGGTGACAGTCATGGTCAAGGGCTCTTGAAATGTTATTCGCAAGGTGAAGAAGCCTATTTGAGAAAATTGTCATGTGGCAAGACTCCCAGAAGTCTGGAAGCCCTCAAAGCATCTTTAGGACATGACAAATATTTCAGTCTTCCAGTAGAGTCAGTGTGTGTGTTTCTGTCATAAGTTACACCCTTAGGCACACAAGCAAGTGCTGCGTCGTTACTGCAATTCACTAGATACTGTCCGGGTTATCCAAAAGCTGAAGCGGTTCAGAGAACGGATGACCGGGATGTGTCATGCATTCTTTCTCCGCATTGCAGCTCCTTCCAGACCGATGACGACGACGAGGTGTCCAACAAGACATGGGTCCTGACCCCAAAGGTGTACGAGAGTGACGTCACACACATCCTCAATGGCCTACTAGACGGATATGACAACAAACTCAGGCCCGACATCGGAGGTAGACGCTTATTCCAAAACATTTATTTCTTGGATTTTTGAGTACCAATTTTTGCTGCAAAAACGTAATCGCTCAATCGCGTTCGGGAAATCGAAAGTGGGTTTTCATATCTTCAACAGTCATTGTGAAAGAAAGTAACAAAAGGCGGACTTTTGTACGTGGCTGCGACATGGTTGACAAGGCCTTGTAATACTTCATATTTTTAGATGTAAGGCAAGCGGCTTTCTTCCTTCACGATGACAGCTGGGTGGGGCTCTCCCGTCCACAAGTGTACATCCATCACCTTGTCATCTGAACGGATCACAATAGGGCGTGTTGTTGTTCAGTACCTGAGTACACATGATTGATGAGGCCATATATCTTGGAGAAATGGCCCGTTTGTCACATCCTCTTATATAATGCTATGCACTCTTCTCTAACGTGGCTGGACTGCATCCACAACTAATATGTATACATAATTTCTTTGTAATAGCTGGTATACAAATCTTACCAGATGAACAGCGGTGACAGAAAATGAATGGATTGCCCCTACATGAGCCTCCTGAAGATTAACACTTTTCCCTTTCAGTGTTCTTGCTACTTTGAGCTATTAACATGCACACCTGCCTAATAAATCTTTGGTCTCAATGACGTGGCAGAAATATGACGCCATTCGTCATTCCATAGAAGCTGTCCAAAGATGGCGCGTCGTAAAGGAATGCTAATAAGCCAGTCCCCCGACACACCACAGCTCCTGAATCCAATGCATATGAAAGTGTAAGAAATCATCTTGGAAAAACAAGCAATCCATGCTGCTTGGTTTTATGCATGATGCCATAATCAAACAAACTAAGCACTGAAAGTCGGCTGGAGGCATCCAGGGAGGCTCGCTAAAACAATTTGTTGCATAAGCAGACCTCTGGTTTATCTCCGGTTTATCATACAGATTAAGGCGATCAATATGTTGCCGGTAACAACAAACACAATCTATCAATCGAAGTGTCCTCAGTTCTTTGGCTGGCAGCAAAAATTCAGAATTACAGACGCATACACGGAGCAACACTGCAGCATCTGTCTGACCAAACATGCGGAGGTGAAGGGACCGAAGCATTGAAAGGTTCTGTTCCACGCTGACGGCTATGCGGTTGGTTGCCGGATTTGAAACAGCAACCCCAATCCTTTTCCAAACCAAGTGACTGGAGCTGTGGTGTTCCATTAAACAAGTTCACCATATTGCTTTCATCCTTGAAATGGCTCGAATGTTTTTGCACGGTGTCAGCACCTTGGTGGCACGGCCATATATAAAGTTCACCCGCCTGATTTTATTAACAAACTTATGTACAGTTCTCTGACAGGGTCTTTTTTAAATATGCTTTTGAGCATGAGAGATTTCATGAAGGGCTTCATCTTTTTTTTCCAGACTTTATAGGCGCCTAGGCTTTCAAATTCAACAGCATGACAGATCTGCGTTGAGTGGCTGCATCAGCCCACAGCAACACAAAGTCTCTTTGCGGCCGGCTGCCACCGCCATAACCGAGCGTCGTCTTCAAATGGGCTCTGATCTCCCTCTCGCACCTTGCGCTACTCCAACGCCTGCTGTCAAAATTTCACAAGATATCGGAGGGTTATAATTAGCTGGCTATACTGTAATCTACCAACAGCCAAACAAGTCACCAGCCATGCACTGCACCGAGCAAAGATGTTCTTCGCCAACCATTTAATGCATCAGAATGATGTAGATTGATTTGAATCCCTAATTGGACCTTAGGCTTCTTCTGAAATGGAGCTACAGAAGCACTAGAGAGGACCTTTAGATACATCCGATGAAATACTCCAGGTGTTGTGTCAGGTGTCGCGTTTGTATGTGCGGTGGGTTTAACCAAGCGGATTTTGATATCAATGAATTTCGCTGTACTTATTGTTAATGAAGGACAAAAACACAAAATCTCAAATGTTTTGGTCATCTGGGCTTTGGGAACTAGGGCTCAGCGAATTATAATTGCTTGCGTGGGTTTTCTACGGACACTCCGCTTTTGTCCCACATTCCAAAAACGTGTATCAAAAGTTAATTGACGACTCTCAATTGCCCTCCGGTGTTAATATGAGTGTGAATTAGTCTCAACATGCCCCGCGATTGGCTGGTGGATCGGGCCGATTGTCCAAGGTCCGCTAGAGTAGGCTCTGGCTCACCCGTGACCCGAGTCAGGATAAGTGCTTTTGAAGATGGATGGATGTAATGTTTGTATGCTACTTTATCTGTCTACAGTTCAGTCGGTCCTCTTTTGGCATAATTTGCAATATTTCTCGGCAACTGTGCTTTTTAGGACAGCTTTCCAGTTGGCTCATCTTCAATAAGCAACGCCCACTTTGGACTATTCATTCGTTTTCTGTGGATTTGAAGCCCTCATGCGTGACTGTTAGAGGAATCTATGGGCGAAATTGTATCATGTTTAAAGTCTCGTTTGATCTGGGCACGTCAAAGCATCTGGGTGCGTTATCAGCACCCCCAAATTCCTTTTCAGAAGGTGCCGGCCATTTGGGCTGGGGGCTGTTGCAGCCCACACCACAATCAACACATCAAAGCGGGTGGGCAATCAGAGGAGATCAGATCCGGTCACAAAGGGGGAGCGAGTAATTTGGGAACAGCGGTCGAACAACAAAAGACGATTTGAGAACACCCGTCGCGCCCAGGCGACATTTGTCATCCGCAAAGTCCGCGATATGTTGATACAGTGTAGACCAGACCGAAAGGCGCCAACGTGCCGGTGGTTCAAAGCTCATACCCAGGTAACCAATCACTACCGAGGGGCCGGACCAGGGGTACGGTATGCAAATATCGGGGGCAATGATTTTCTTGTATTTGCATATGTCACAAATAAATGTCCGAACTCGAGGAGGGGGGGCTCTGAGCGTGATCACGGAGCAACTAAACCGTCGTTCGCTCTCAGAGATCCGCTTCCGTCGATATTGAAGACAATTTTCCTGTGTGCCGAGTCGTTTCTTTAACCTTGTCCGAGAAAATCTCTGACAGTGACTTGATGGGAATCCAGCCTGTGGTCAATATTTTGTGGCTCTACGTGCTTATGAAACATTCATGGACATTCATGAAATAACCCATTACATGTATGTCACAGAAGACGCATGCTGGGTGATCGTGCATGTCCTGCGATGCACTTGACGTGTATGTCTGGGAGTGACATGAAAAATGAATGCCAACCAGCAGCACTCAATATAAGCGGCATGTCTGTTGAGAAGGCCAGCCCGTATCTCTACCTGAACCCTCTTAGACGTCACGCTCAGTCAGCCGTTACGAGTTCGATAGCACCGTATGGCACCGCTGACTCACATCATCTGATGCAATATGGACATCTATGTGACACTAACATGTCTTGTTTTCTCATATCTCACATGTCCACAAATCAACAGACTGCTTGCGTCCATGTGTGTGTCACTGCACTGAGCAGACGGAAAGTGTATCAGTGTATCAGATATAGATATACTGAATATACCGGTACTTGCAATATTACACATAAAGATCTGGCCTAAAAGTGCATTTCGGCGCGGGGATAGCGAGGGCAAAGACCTGCACTACTCCTCATCACGGTGGCCTCATAGGGCTCAGCGGTACAGAAAAAGGAACGGAGTGCATGTTGCAGAGTGCATATAAGACGGGAGGTTCGCTTTTAATAAACTCTACTGTCCACTGATATTGCCCAAAGACTCTTAAATATGCTCCCATTTTGTCCTGTTCTACATTAAATGCAAGCCCATACATCCAGATTCGTCTGGAAATGCTTTGTATTTAAACACGGTTGCCAAATCAAGTGTAATGACTCATTTTAACAATCCTCATGCTTGTTGTTGCAGTTAAACCGACAGTGATCCACACAGACATGTTCGTCAACAGCATCGGTCCAGTGAATGCCATCAATATGGTAAGTAGCCCAGAATGCGCTCTTAATGTGTCAATGTTAAGATTGAACTGTCTGATCTCGCGTTGAGAAAGAATATCAATGACTAAAATGTGTGCTCACCCCGTCTCCGCCTTGTGGGGGAGGCCAGAGCGTAATGATGGGGTGCTTTCGGTCTCTGTACAGCTGGCAGGCAATCGACGTGTTGCTCCAGCACACCCCAGCATCGCAGCTGTGGGCTTTCGGGGCTTTTATTCTAATCTTTATGTCGCACACTAACACAGCTTTGCTGTCGATCAGCGGATGAAACAGCTGCACCAGGCCTTTGCCCCGCACTGGATAAACTATTTAGCGGTTCTCACTCCAGACAGCTTATAACACCTCATCCATACAGAGCCCTTGGCGAATATCATAAAGCATCTTTTGAATAGGTGCTCTTGTGTTATTTGGTTCATTGCCAATCATTTCAAATCAACATTTTCGGAAAAAAAAAACGTCTTCGTTTTGAAATGAAACTCCCCGAAATAAGCACATGGTGCTTGTCTGATTATGATTAATGACAACTCGGATAACATGACCGTACAGACACTTGAACCAAAGTTGAACTGGAACAACAAAAAAAAGAATGACCCCTACAGATTCTAAACTGTTTTCTAACATGTCACTATTCGATCACGTGTGTGTAAGACTAAATTTGAACACCCCACACAGAACCAGCGGATGCTGTATTTCTTCTCTGCTGTTCATATTTGATAAAAACACCCAGTCATCGATAGCGGTCACAGTGAGGTATTGATTTGGATTGGCTGTGTTAGAGCCCGCCGTTGGTGCTCGCATCGGGGCATCCTTGTGTGTGTGCGCGTGTGTGTGTGTGAGGGTGCCGCGCTGACACGAAAGGTTGATGGATTGCCTCACATCCATATGTAATCAGCCACGGGCCCTCTGGTTCACACGGTAACGTGACGAATGCGGGAGCTTTGTAGGTATTGTGAAGCACGGCGAAAAGACAGATGGCACCGGGTTGGTGATTTCATGTTCTTAATTATGCAATGTGAATCCACGGGAAATATGGCAAAGACCCATGCTATCTGATTATGCGCGAGGTAAAGGATGGGACGCTTTAAAAGGAGGCTTGGAAGACAACGCTGACATTCTCTGACAACACGAATCTGACTTCTGACCCTGTTGTCAAATGTTCATATTGGACACGATTGGACAGAAGTGGACATAAGGATCTAGTTAGATGACTGTCGAGTCGAATCATGTCACAAAGCAGTCAAATCTTTGTCAAGTGAATTGGCTTCGATTAGAAATCTTTGAAGGTAAGTGCTTCAAAATGTGTGAAAAAACGGAGACCTATTTAGTCCTGAATCCAGGTCGATATCGAAAACTGAGGCCTTTGGCTTAGCCCCAAAACACACGGCACTTGGCAGAGGTTTTTTTAGCACTTGTTTGGAACTCTTGGAATAGGTTTGGGCTTTATTTTTGAGTTCGGCTTTATGGCCTCTTGTACACAAATGCCCCCGCTTATTTCTTTCCTGCTGTACTTTACTTGAAAGCTCGGGGCTCAACCGCTGCGAGTAACTAACTCAGTAAGAAAAGAGTGATAGTTCCATTTCAATGAGCTTCCTCCACTTTTATTTCTCCATTACGCCCAGGCTTCTGTCAGCTGGATTTTCATTTGTCTGACTTTCTTAGCTTGCTCTCAAAGGGACTGAAAAGAAGACGGGAGATTTTGGTCCAGCTCGTAATGAGGTTTCAGAGTACTTGAGCCAAAAAATGAGAGCCATTAGTTGATCATTGGCCCATTCATTTTAAGGTTGAGGGAGTCAAAATGTTCCTCTTCAGTATTGGAGGATTAAAAAGAAAAAAGATCTATTGATTTGAGCACAGTTCCTATATGAAAAATGACCCACTGATACCTTCAGGCAGATAAGAGGCCAAAAGTATTGTATGTTGTCAGTTAAGTGAAGATACTATGAGTGTTTTTGAAGACAGTCCACCCTATTTATTTTTTATTTTTTTGCCAGGAATACACCATCGACATCTTTTTCGCCCAGACCTGGTATGACAGACGGTTAAAGTTCAACAGCACGATGAAGGTTCTGCGTCTCAACAGCAACATGGTTGGGAAGATCTGGATTCCCGACACGTTTTTTCGCAATTCGAAGAAGGCCGACGCCCACTGGATCACAACACCCAATCGCATGCTTCGGATCTGGAACGACGGGCGAATCCTCTACACGCTCAGGTACGAAGTCAGGGTTGACCCTGGTTATTCAACCGAATTTAGATGAATATATCAAATTAAAAAGAATGTCATGAGCTCAAAAATTCTGTTCAATACGAGCATCACCCGAAAAGAATGTGGGATTAAATGAGAATGGTGCTTTGAAAATAAAATGACATCGATCGAGCATATTATGCCTTTTCTTACTGTCCTAAATGCAGCAGATGCTTTCTCCAGACGCCACTATACATCTCGAGAGATAATAAGAAAGAAACTAAAGTCCATCGGACTCAATCAAGTCATGATTGATGTTCTTCTATGCAGAACACTGGCTCGCCACTTCATTAATTTGGAGTAACTCGTTATGCAAGCGCTAGTTAATTAGGATGACCGCTGTGCTGCGCGCGACAATGATACACGACAATAGCATCCCCCCGCGGATGAGCAAAGTCACTTGAGGTCATTCCCTTATTAACAGTAAGTTTAATGACTTTAATGATTTCAAGGTCCCTCAAGTGTGAAAAGTGGTGATAGGACAGGTGTGCGGCGGTGAAGATCAACATCTATTTGTTTTGATAAACAACGGCTTTAAAGCTCGTACTGGGACTGTACAGTGTCGTGTCTCTGCAGGTTGACCATCGATGCCGAATGCCAGCTGAAACTGAACAACTTCCCAATGGACGAGCACTCGTGTCCTCTGGAGTTTTCAAGCTGTAAGTGTGGACATAAATTAGGCTCACCGCTGCATGACTACAACTCAATTTACATGGTTAACATAAAAGCAATATACTGTATAGTTGCAATGGCTAAATCAAATTCGTTCCATCTTGGCCCGTGTACCATACCGTCATGCATTTTGTGTAAACCAACGTACTGAACAGTGGTGGGGGATTGGGGGGGTGGGCGGTAGTTCAGTAAATTGTGCCGGCCCATAATTCGTTATTCGCCAGCGGCTGGCCCACCCAGCCGTCATTGTCAGTCCGTTCTTTTAACCGCGCATCCGTCATCGTGAAATAGTTGGTCACCGCTATTTTAGGTCCATTAATTAAAAAATATATATATATTTACAAGGGTAATAGCCGTGGTGGCCGTATCAAGAAATTTGAACATATTGATACAATGTAAACTAAATGCTAAAAATAATTTCCCCATAATGCCACAGGGTATTGATTTGCACATGAGCTAGTCAATACTTTGTGGCAGTATGTTGCGAACAATCATTTCATCAATTATTGTATTCATCCATCGATTCATGTGGAGCTTATGTGGACTCCACTCCCCCCCCCCCTCCCCAAAATTGTTTTTGGTTCCTCATGCATTCAGACTAAAATATGATGTCTATTAAAGTTGTAACAGGAAAGTCCTGGCTTTCATAGTGTGTGTTGGCAAACGGTAAACTCATTGAATAAAACATTTTTAAAAACCAAAAGGAAAAGATGGACTTCATTTCCCAAACATTACTTTGCTGAGGAAATTTCAAAAGTGCCACAAGTTGAAATGCTTCACTGGCCACACGGGAAGAGTGGAAGAGGGGTAAAGTTATGCTAATGAGGTCTCTATGGATCTACAGAGAGAAGCGCCATGGGATCGGTCTCCCGGGAAAAGGCTTTGTAAATACCTCCAAAAGCAACAAGAGAAGAGAAACTAGCGTGTGCCTAAATATGGAAGCAGAGCGCCCTTCATTTCAGTAGGATGAAGCCTGTCGATCCTTCAAACATATCTTTTGGCACCAATGCACTTGTGGTCGATGGTCAGCCAGCAAGTCTTCCTGTGCTGGCCTCGACACTATCACTGACCTACATTTGCAACCTAAATTCTAACATGTGTCGCATTAAATTGTACTCACTTACTCCCACAAGTCGATGCGCTACATTTCTTTCGTGTGTGTCTTGGCTGCACTGCTTCTGGTGCTTCACTCTGAATCGAAGCTATTTTGTCTAATCAGATTTTAGCCTCTATGTACTGCCACGTCAAGCTAATCGGTATCGGAGTCAGTAGTAGTGGCCAATGTAACTTCAAACTGGCAATGGGACTGTTCCAACCGATCAAGAATTCAAATTCGTCCTCACGTGGCTGGCTGGCCCTCGACTACATCAGCATTTTTATTTTCCATTCCCCAGTGGGTTGGTCAGAACAAAACTAGTTTCAACCCCCCCCCCAAATGTTTTTGTAATGTTATTGTATTCATACAATAAAGAATCAGCATGTGACTGTACTTTTGTATAGTCGTGATGGTTTCTGTAACTGTGATGCAACAGTGGTGGTATTAAGATGTGGATTAAGTCGAGTAAATCCTAACTGAAGGCCTAGGTACCAAATGCTCTCGACACACACACACTCAGTTATGCCATTGGCATATTTGACAACAGTCAAGTCAGAGAAAGTTTCTCGTTTCGAAGAGAATCAATCATCGTCGCCAGTTGAGGAGCAGGCCGCCTGCTGGGCTGGCTTTAATGTGGCAAGCGGGTACATCCGCGCATCTCACAGCATTACTGCATGCCTGAAAGCGCCTAACTCATGAAGCTATTTCGACAAGTACAAATATGCTGGACCGAAGCCACCAGCAGCCTGAGGGCAGCCTCCGATGGGAATCTGAACAGAATCGTTACTCCCAGTAAATGTTATTTTAATTAACCTTGATTTCACAAAGAAACATGACATGCAGGACTCTTAGGTCATCAATTTTTGGAAAAGAATGTTTTGTAAGATTGCAGACTTTCCTGTGATAAAACAGGTCATGAGTGCTTTGGCTATACGGTATCTTGAATTGCAAGAGTGAGCAAGTCTACCGAGGGAACTCCTTTAAGGGATGAAATGTTTGTTACGCGCGGTTATAGTTGGCCTCAGCTAATCCCCTGTGCTTCTCGTCCTCCTCCTCGTCTCCCTCCCGCACAGACGGCTACCCCAAGGAGGAGATTGTGTACAAGTGGAAGAGGAGCTCAGTTGAAGTTGGAGACATCCGCTCTTGGAGACTTTACCAGTTCTCCTTTGTGGGCCTGAGGAACACCTCGGAAATTGTCAGGACTGTCTCAGGTAAGACCACTTCTGGGCAATCCTTTCTTGTATATGTAGGTCTCATTTTGTGCTATGAAACCTTTTGTTCCGAAAGAAAAAAACTGGCGCACACCCGTACCTCTCATATTGTGGGGACATTTGTATTGGGCCACACACAAGAGAAATATTAGGATGAGCCGCTTTGTTACGTGATTTGTCTGGAGTGTCTTTGTAGAACATGTGAAGTCCGGATTGGATTTTACATGACATTCATGGACAGAACATTTAATCTGATGTGGGCAGGAGGTGTGGAGCATTGTGGGCATCATCCCTTTTGCGTAATATCTGACACGAACATTTTAAAAAAGGCCTCATCACAATCGTCTGGCCCACACAGACGACGCATGTCCAAGTTTGCTATTTAATTAGTAAAATGGGATTTTTTTTCTGGGGTCATTTTTTTCCGACAAAAAAAAAAAGTATTGCCACTTTGGTATAGGTGATTTTAGGAAAGTGAACACGGTGGAGGCACTCTATTATTGCAGTTACAATAAGGTAAGGTTGTACAATTGGAGGCCTGACTGAGCTGGGAAACCTTGATAATTAAAAGTCAGGATCCAGGGGCTGCGACGACAGAGGCAAAGAATGAATTGGACAGAAAAAAAAAATCAGACTATTGTTGAAGCTGCAACTAAGCAGATTTCAAAATAACATAACCCAGTGCCGAAATATGGATGGATGGAACCAAAGAACATTTTTTGTGGGCCGTTACAATTAAATATGTAATTAATAAGTTGGCTGTGCTCTTTTTTCTTTTTTAGATGCTTTCATGTTTACATCACAATCACGCTAAGTAACTTGGTAAAAAGTAAGGATATACATAAAGGTTAGTTAATGAGATGAAAACAGATTTTTTTTTTTTTTTTTTTTTTTGCACATACAACAAATATTATACACTAGCAAATGATGACTAAATATGGAATTGAGAAAAAGTGCCATAAACGGTAGCTTCTGAATTGGTCTGGGAGTGTCATGCGCTTCATCGTATTTTACGAGTTGAGTGGAGCAGCCCTCTTATGTGGAGCATCAAGCTTTGTTTTGGAGTGTTGGCTAAGAGGTTGATTGCGACTAGGCCTGTCAGATAGTCCAGTGCTACATGTATGGCGACATACAAAAACGTACAAATCCTAAATCGGCCACTTGCATCCACATTTAAAGGTATGGTGAGACAATGGAGTATGCTTGAACTATAAGAGCTGCGAAAAAATAAAAAAACATTTGAAACTTCTGCATTTAATCAAAAGTATTTCGAAGTGACATCATGAAAAGGCAATCTGTGTAGGCGGATTACATGTGATGAAGACTTCGGAGCACGCCTCTCTGATCTGGTTTGTTATTTCCGCCAACAGCCAACCCGCCATCTGCTCTCTTGTCAGCGCGGAGAACCTTGACTGCGGTTGAGAGACCCCTTGTCTCATTTTGCAGTCACTTTGGGTTTCTGACCTGCTGCCAGTTGGGCGAGCACAACATCTGCCTCAACGAGCAGTCTGTTAATAGAGAGTCTGGCCACCACCAAGCGCACCCTATGCATTTGGCGAGAGCTGCAGAAATGGGATGAAAATAGGTTGTTTATGGATGGAACGCAAAATCTGTCTTGATTTATTTATTTCTTTTTTTCCAGAGGTGTATTCAAGGACACGTTGAAAGTTTGAAGATTATTCCTTTTCAGGTCCTTTTGCTGTGTTCGAATGAGGCAGGCAAGGCAAGTGGAAGTAACGTTAATGCAAGCAGACAAGCAGGCAGGTGAACCGGCTTCAGCCAGAGGAGGTCATTCGGGCTCATTTTTGGAAAGAGCAACATGACTGTGATCAGATTGGTTCTCCAAAAAAAGTGCGACGACCGAAGCGCGCTTTGAAAAAGATCAAATGATTTTATGATGAAATGGATGCTTTGGGAATTGACATGCCATCTGCTGCTCTTGACGTACCTTTTTAATGAAGGCGGCGTCTGCTTTTATTGGATTCCGCACTTGCCCTGCTCAGCCAGTGTCCAAAGACGTGGTCTGGCAACATGTCACTTTGCATCAAGACTGCCTGCGCTGCCTGCAAGCCTATACCGGCATTTATCAACACACACACACACTCACTCACACACTGCCACAGTTACAAGGGAACGCGGAAATATTAGGATGGAATTAGATTTTAGCTTGGCTAGTTTGAGCGTGCGCAAAATTGTTGTTGTCCGACATCTCGACACGTGCCGTGTTCAAACGCGCAGTTTAAACTCAAGCAGCTGGAGCAATCCGCCTATTTAGATTATCTTATGCTTGTTCAAACTGTGCAAAAGGATGGCGGACACATTATAGATATTAAATAAATAAATGGCCGAACGTTATTTCCAGTGCTTTCATGTTACGCTTCCATTACTCAGATCCACAGCGAGGTCTCACCATATCTGTGAGTCATAGTTCCAGCACAAATTAGCGGGAAAAAAAAAAAATAAAAATCTTAGATGGATGTCCCGAAGGCTTTTCCGTCCAAGCATCAAGGAGAGCCATGTCATTTCCCAACTGATTGTGTCTCGTTCACTAGTTATTCTCGCTCTTCTTCATAATGAGTCATGAAATTTTTTTAATTCAAGCAGCACGATCGGGTCGCAAACCCACATTGTGTGAATGCACTTCAATGTGTATACACACAATCGTGCACGTTTCAATGAGCCTGTTGGTCTGTTCGTGATGTATAGAAACCTATTCTTAGCTTGACCTTCCGGAAGCCGTGCCGTGCAGCCTTGTTGTCTGTGTTCGTCCGCCTGTGTGATTCAGCTTGAGTCGAAAAAGCCCCGAGACACATCAGTGGCCCTGTCGCGATGACGGAGCTCCACAGTTTACAGATGATTTGTTGATGGGGCAAATCCAGGGCGGGGCTTATACAAGGAACAAGCTCGAGAATACAAGCGAAGGAAACCCACGGAAAGAAAATGCATTCCTTCTTATAGCATGACCAAACGTTGCCTCGTTCTATCTTTAGGCCGTTACGGCCGCAAACGGAGACGGAGCGCTTAATCCACAAAGACGTACTCAACAACGGCCAAAGTGTTGACAGTTCTGCTGCGACAAGACAACAAATATGTCGTAGATTTGTTGTACTGACTGGATGCAAGACGTTATTTGAGATCCGTTTAGATTGTAAGAGCGTGATGGAAAGACATCGTACAAGAACAGAATTTGTTGATTTTGTGGTATTCATCGTGATGATGGACTGCGTCGTGAAACAATTGGGTTCAAATTGAGTGTGCTTATTCTCGGCAACCAGCAGAGGCTCTCTTGATGTGATCCCCTGTCATAACTGCGGAGGCAAGGTCGCTTGTCGGCTGCTGCGTTTGTTTAATCAAGAAAAGTGGTTACAAAAAAGAGAAAGCAATAAAACACTGACGCCAATAGTTTATTTTATAGTTACTGAGACATTGTAGTCCTGATTGGATATAAAACCTGGCCATAAAGTCACAGGAGAGTAGATGGTCCAAAGCGCACATCAAAGTGATATGTCAATCCCGTCAGCAATCAAAAAGTATTAAAAAAGAAAAAAAAAAACAAATCACAGTGCGAGCTCACTCATCAATATCTATATCATAATCGTAATAATAATAATCTATAAGAAAAGTAAATGAATGACTGCGGAAATGTACTGCAGCTCTTTAATCAGATGCCGATCATCCGGCGTTTATTAAGAGAAAGGAGGTTGAAGACTGCCGAAACAATTCATTAGCCACAGCCAGACGCCACTGCGATTGTAGCGACTCGCTCTTAATCTCTTCCTCCAGTCATCCACTGCTCCTCTCTGTCTGTCTTTCTCTCTCCCTCTCTCTCTCTCTCTCTGCTGGCGACACTTGCGAGGGGCAGGATAAATGTTGTGACTCAGCCCGTATCGTCCTTTTGTCAAGTTAAAGACCAATTTACGCCGAATGCCATCCCCCTGACGCCCATCCCCCCCCCCCCCCACCTGTGCCCGCATGCCGCACTGGTCACGTTACACTCAAGCTGATTTACAAGGAGCAACTTTTCTTTCAGGCAATACCCAAATCATCTTTCCTGATATGTATAATTGATGATTTGCGGAACCAAAGAGCCCACGGTAACACGACTTAAATGGATGACTGTTTTGCTCCTCATGCATTAGTGAAGAGGCAGCTACCGGTAAGATTTGTCTCGTAAAGACAAACGCAGAGCAAGTGGAGTGAAGCGCTTTTTTTTTTTTTTAATGAAGACATTTTGTCCTGTTCCAATAAAATTGCGACCGCGGTAACATTGATGCTTATTGGAGGCCGGCCCACTGTTATTTTTTGGACGTTTAAACAACTGATGGGTAGCTGTCAAAAATAATTTTGCAAGACTGCAGTGATAAATTTTAGAAGTCATAATAGAGATTCCAAGGGCAGTTTTGTTTAGAAGTAACGTGTTATTGTTTTGGCGGACTCAGTCGGGTTTACACTAGTGCACTCTCATGTTAACCCACTTACTTCCAGACACTGTTCATAAACCAGCCACACAATCGACCACGTTCTCAACAATGAAGCGATTATTATTCCAAGCCTCCATCCCCTCAAACAGCGGTGCAATATATCATTTTTTTACACAAGCGCACAGTTTGAAGCTAGGAAATAAAAAAATGGTTTTACGAGATTACGCACCTGTCTTCCTGTTCCTGAATTTACTTTTAATTGGACACGGCAACAGTTGCTACAGAAGCTTCAGATGGAGAAAACAGGACACGCCAATGCATTGCTTCCCAAACCAAAATTATCTTGCAAGTGGATGGTAGTATTGAGGTTCTTAATATTTTTATTTTTTTTTAGTTGAGATGCTGTAGGCATGGATGGAGGTCATCGAGTCGAGTGAAGCAAGGGTGCTGAGCCAAATGATTAAAAAAAGTAGGCCAACTGTGTCAGAGATGTTGCTTATGGAGATGTTTTCCTTTTATGTGGACTTGCACATGAAGTTGTTAGATACTTTTGGCAATGTACTTGGGGGGGAAAAGTGTGTGTGTGTGTGTGTGTGTGTGTGTGTGTGTGTGTGTGTGTGTGAGAGAAATATTTGATTCTCTGCTTCAGTGTAGGCTTATAGAATACTTATATAAATATATATATATATATAATGTATACACACACACATTTTTTTCGGTCATTGTGTTCAATCAATCTTTGCTGAACCAACAATCCCATGCCCTGAGCGCCGTCTTACACCTTCACAAAGCTTTAGAGTGGCATGTTATTGTCTATAATGAGTATCAAAGATACCGTAGCAAATCGAGGCGGGTTTATGAGCATGAACTTTTTGCAAAAGGACACCGTGAAATTCAGTTTGAAGTCATCGACGCGAGCTCGGACTGTGTTTACTAAGAGGATTAACCTGCTTTCATGCAAATGTGTTTGCAAGTGAAGCTCTCTCAATTTCTTTGAAGCAATATTTTCTGAACGTTCCACTGGAATAGTCGGACTTTAGCACAGAGGGGGGATTTATAAAAAAGATGGGTTGCAACGACAACAGCACTTCATTTTCAAGGACGCCCATTTCACAAAACTTTGCGGTGACTAAAAGGAAAGGGAAACACTACAGTATCTGAAATATGATTGACGTGGTGACGGAGATGATAAACCAAGACCCATTCCAGTGACTTTAAGGCTTGTAAACTTCACCCATCTATCCATACGTCTATTAAATGTCTTGATAGCGATTGTAAAGACCAATCCGTTGTGTCATTGTCAGACATCGGAGGTCATAGCATGTTGTGTTAGCAGTGAAAATGAGGCGGCGATGATGCGCGGTATCAAGAGAACGAGGGAAGAAGGGTGAGCGTTCAATTTTAAGAACACGCCAACGCTTACATAACGGCTTTGAATCACATCTCGGCTCAGTGTGTGAAAAACAAATGCGGCCATTTTTAGACAAGGTGAGGTGGAAGTAAAGCAGAAACAGAGGAGACAAAGCAACCATTGGATGAATTTGATGATGGAGTTTTGCAATTACCAATGCAAAAATTGACAGAAAAGTCCGCTGCCTTTATTCTTTGTGTGAACAGACTCAACTCCCAGGCACCGTACTCGTCCCCCTTTGTATGTTTCTCAGTTTTACAGTTAGACTCAAAATTATTTTCCTTTTATATTTCAATGAGCAGGTGGCAAAGTATAAAATGGCCACTGCAGCCTGCAACGATACAACCAAGCAACACGGGAACTTGTTTATCATCTGCCATTCGTCATGTCACCAAAGAGTGATGAGCAAGCATTCCGGCTAAGTACCATTGACCCTGGCAAGTAGCCGAGGCGTAACCCCGGTCATTAGCAAGCTTCCCGTCTTTCAGTCAAACCTGCACATTTACATACGCTGTCACCTCTTATATCCCCAAGCGTTTAGAGGACGGCCTGTCAGCAGCCTCGAATTAGATTGGCCAGCCTGAGCCTCGGGTCTCTGCTGTCCATGCATATCTCCAACAATTTGCAAGCTCTCTGCCAGCAAAACGACGATATGATATTCTCATGTGACTTTTTTTTTTTTTTAAATTTTCTTTCTCTCATCTGGTCAGCAATCCTGCGTTTGCATGGCAGGTTTCATTCCGACCATATTCCTGGTCACTGTTCCGCATGAATCTTCTCTGCTATAACTCAGATAAGAATTTTTCGGCCAACATTTCGATATATATATATATATATATATATATATATATATATATATACACATATATACACACACACACACACACACACACACACACACACATATATTCATCACAGTATGGCTAAAGCTGAAAGCATTATTATGCCTTCCCATCGCTTTCTTTCTGTTAAACGTGTTGCCTCCGACAATAAAGAGCTGATTTCTGATGAATGATCAGGCCCACCAAGTTTTTATTGCTTTCCGTAGATTACATCAGCTTGAAGTAACTGTGCGATTCTCAGTGAAAGAAAAAAAAAAAAAAAGAGGGAAAATAAAAAGAATATCTCAATGGCAGGTTTGTGCTGCTGTCGGTATTTTTGCATGGGTTGGGTCAGCAAAAAATTGTCCTTGTCTCGAGTGAGTCTGACTTAAAAGCAATGTAATTCCAGCGATGGATGATCAGCTCATTTTATTAACGGTGGGCAGAGAGCGTCGCATAGGACGCCTTCACTGTACTGATCTGTTATCTTTGTGTTCTTGTTACAGGAGAAATTAGCACTTTGGATCAGATGATTGTTAGCCGGATAGGGAAGGAGCTGAAGATGTGGGCGATGTTGGATACATGTGAAAGACCGAGAGATCACAGCGGCACGTACAGCCGCTTCATTACATTCACTGCTGGTCCACTGGGTGTAAATTGGACCCCTCGGTGGTGATGGTCATGAATAAGAGAAAACGTTAGATGGTGAGAGCTCCGCGTCAGGGGTTCCGCTACTCACTTTGCAGCCTCTTTCCCAAGTTTCAGAGGGCCGTTACGAAGACCGAAAAAAGAATTCAACTGAAAACACTACGCCAATATGCATTCCGGGATGAGCTGCGTCAACATTTCCTTTCATCAAAACGCACCTTGTCCTTCTGTCAACGTTTCATTTCTGAATTTGAATGCAATTGACATCCATTGTAGAAAACAGACTTGGATTTTTTTTTTCCTCAAGCGATTTCTATGTACCAACAGGATAGGAAATTACAAAAAACACATATTTACAATAATAATAGGAACATAAAAAAATACATTTATATACTCCTTTTTGGACAGTCATCAAGTTGTTTGTCGATGAGAGCGCGAATCAGGATTGAAGTCTCTAACGACCAGGATGAGCACACCAAGCTTCAAATTTATGCTTGTTGCTCGTCCATGAATGTGTGTGTATCATCCACACGCCGAAGCCTTGAAACTATGTGCAATCAGGACGTGATTAACCAACTAATGCATGACCCCCTTTGCTCGAATGGCAAGGCGGGCTGATACTGATATATCAGCTTGCCACAGTGGAGGGCACGGGTCGATAACGGCTCCACAAAATGTCGTGTTGGCAAATGCCGCGGCCTGGAATGAAACTGGTGAATGGATGAAGGCGAGCTTAAGCCAACAGAGACCTTCGACGACCAATTTCAGCCATGCTGGAAAGACCATTGTTATGAAAGGTGTGGAAATGTGAAGGAGGTTTTGCGCTACAGACGACATCAGGATGACATGGATTAACCAGTCGCAAAGGATGGATCTTGGTAGAAAGGGTTATTTGCTCTGGTAATGCTACTAAAATGTAAACAGTGCTCTGCCGAACCCTCAAGTCCTGTATTGCCCACAAAGCAGATGCCACGCACCAGCCTGCATCAGCAGAAAAATACATCTGAACAGTTACGGCTGTGCTGTAGGGGTCACCGAACATTATTTCATATCGCCCAGACTTGGTCCCCTCCATCCAGATGCTACAGGAACTCGCTGGCGCTGATCGCAACAAAATAATAAACACCAACAGTCTCGCGTCTTTCTCTCTCTGTCGCTCATTAGCGCGAGCGCAAAAACACACAGATGTCGGCTGCTCTCGCAATAAACTGCGACGCGCCCTTTCTCATGAGGAAAATTATTAGCCAGCTGTTCGTACCCCAGCTGCAGCCAGTCTATCGCAAAGCGCCGGCAGCCATCGAACAATCTCTCTCTCTCTCTCTCTCTCTCTCACTCACCATCACACTGACGACTGAGACAGAGAGAAGGCTTGTGCCCTGCAGGTTACAAGCCATAGTGAGAGGCCAGCGGAGGTTTCCGACACCGCGAACAGTTTGATGTTAATCAATTAGCAGATCAGCGGCCCACGCTGAGCTGCCATTTTACTAAAATGAGCCAACGGATGCCAACAGGTACACCCAAAGTCAGTTGAAGTTGAGAGTAGCTTTAGCACTACCAAAGCTAACTGGAATGAGCTCGATCACAGGCTGTATCGTTCAGTTCAGTTTAATCCCAACGGTTGAACAAAATTTAAACTAAATTAGCCTTCGGTTTTGATCAAGATGCAGAAATCAAAGCGTCTACGCTCAAGTTTGCATACGTATTCAGGAAATTGAAATGGTACACTGTTTGGAATGAACTACACGACCATGTATGTGTGGGCGGGTTGGTTATTGCAGCATCAATGGTGGACCGTGCATAGTGTGACATCTGTGTTGACGATGCAACCCCAAAAATTCAGCAAACAAGACCACAACACGTTAATCAAGAACAACCTAAGACATTTTGCATTTTGTGTTTTTTCATCTTGGAATGACAACCTTGGTTTTACTTGTTGTTGTTACAAATCATTGTCTTACACGGGCCCAAAAGCAAGACTCTTAAACCACATTTCCATTTTTTTGAATGCGCTAGCTTTCTTCAGCAAACAATTTGGTTACTCAGCATGACATATTCATCGTCAGACGTCAGAGTTTGTTCATGTTCGCTGTCGACAGCTGTGTTTGATCATCGTGTGTTAATACAGCACGACTTAGTAGGACGGTTGGAAGAGTGCTGTGCGGCATATTCCGGCTGTCAGGAGTTTACGTGTATCGAGTGAAATGGAATCTGACCCGTTTTGTCCTCTTTTCCTCTCTTTTAGGCGACTACGTGGTGCTGACGGTCTTCTTTGATCTGAGCAGGAGAATGGGCTACTTCACCATCCAAACCTACATACCGTGCACGCTCATTGTCGTCCTCTCTTGGGTCTCATTCTGGATCAACAAGGATGCGGTGCCAGCCAGGACGTCATTAGGTGAGCTTGTGCTTTGCATGTCAAATGCTGGCAATCCAAATTCAGATGATCTGTAATCGCACATTGGTACTGGCCCGCACACCCTGTCACGCTTAAATTCATTGGCAAGTATGCCCCTGAAACATACGAAGAGCTCGGCGGCGGCGCCGCCACTTAACCTCCGATTGAAAAGCCGTCTACTTTTGTCGGCCGCTTTCCTTCCTCCTCTTGCATTCCTTCCTCCCCCTTCTCTTTCCCTCTGAGACAGGCACGAGGAATCTAGTCCATCTTGATAAGAAGAGCCAATCCTGGCACATGTTTTCACGCATGCTTTAATGAGGCATTCATTATGCAGTGCAGCAGCAAAAGATGCCGGGATGCAGCCTCAGCACAAGAAGAACAGGGGCTGCTGCGGCTTCGATCCACGCAAAGGAAAAGGACGCAGGACTTAAAACGAGAGCAAAAGTTTAAATATCAACAAACCCCGTCAGGCTTTGAACTTCCTTCACCTGCAGGGGACGTGACATGGATGTGTTTTTTTCGTCATGTAGCTTTCTCCTTGTCAGCTTTCTTTTCGGACCCGAAAGGCTGAAAATCTTGCCCCCCAAACATGCGATGTGATCATTATCAGGCAGAACGGAATGTACAAGAATCCGCCGGGGAAGAGCGCTTCCTCCTACCTTGCTGTCGTCATTACTTTGTCTGCCATCAATCTCTAAAAATAGATCGCGTACTCGAGCGTTGGCGGATTTCAGCACCATTTGCCGCGGATGTGCGAACAGAGTCCAATCCCTGCTAAAATTATACCAAGAAAGGAAAATCCAAATTTCCCCTTTGAAAGATTATACGGGCAGTACAAGCAGCCAGGTGGTTGGGGAGTGGATTAATTCAGATGACATCATTCTTAATCCTTCAATGCCACCCCGAAATAAACCAATTCACTCACAATGCTGAAATATTCGTCTTGAGACAGGCAGATGTCTTTTGCTCCACACCAAATACAGACTCCCAACAGTAGGCCAATGCAAACCTCCCAATTCAGTGAAAGGGAAGGTGGCAGCTTTGTTTATTTGTATTCCGGAGGTATTATGCCACTGACGGGAGTGCTAATCTGTAGTATCAGCGATCATATAAACCCTTTCCATGTGCCTTGTTCCACATCATCATTAGAGCCAGAGCAAGACTGGGCGAAGGATTACCAGATGGTGTTTATTGGAATGTAGTGTCGGTGTGTTGGTGGTCAATGGGAGATGAACCGTAAACCGTATGGAGCAAGGGGAGTACAAAACAGCTGTTTATGCGATCTCCCGTGGGGATCGAACTGTTAAGAGCACAGAATCAAACAGCCTCCGTTAATCCTCGTTTTGCATCAATTAAACGCGGCGATATTTCAACACGGCTTTGTTTGACTTCATGAGCAGCCTGCTCAATGAATGTGTCCTTTTGTTCTTGTTCTGCTCCTCCAAAATGTTTTCCAGGTCTTTGCTTAATTTGTCATATCAGTTTTTAAGGGATGCATATTGTTCTTAGTCGTGGTCAAAACACATATTCCCTTGAGGGGTAAAATTACTTTGAGGGTGATGCACTCATGCCGTGTGTTACGAATCTGGAATTTAGGATCTATAACTATGAAAAATCGGGTGTATGGCCATGTCTAAAACATAAATAATACCGTGCAGGTATGACAATTTCCAATGCATGGTGAATCTCCATAATGAAAACTAATTTACATGCTTGTCTCAGTGCTGCTTATTTCTTTAGCAACTCACTACAAATGGGCCCAACAGCTTCCTTCCAACACCATTTATGGGCTGATATAATGGCAAGTTTTCTGAAGCAAAAAATGAGGCATCCATTTTTAGATTTTGATTCTTGCAATAATTCTAGCCATGATGATAATTGTTGCCAACTTGCTCGACAACCATCGTCTATGATGTCATTACCAGGCATCACCACCGTGCTGACCATGACTACGTTGAGTACCATTGCCAGGAAGTCTCTTCCTAAAGTCTCCTACGTGACAGCCATGGACCTGTTTGTCTCCGTCTGCTTCATCTTCGTCTTTGCCGCACTAATAGAGTATGGCACGTTGCACTACTTTGTCAGCAATCGGAAGCCAAGCGCCAAAAAGGACAAGAAGAAGAAAAACCCGGTGAGTGCCCTTCTGAATCTAAGAGGTCGTGTTTTATCTTCTATTTTGGATTGGATGAATTGCAGTTAGCACACAACTGCCAGTGCCATTTAGAGTACCTTTCATTAACCTCAAATAAAGTTCAGCTGTTCGACGACAAAAATGTCAGGAAAAAAAATGGGGTTAATCAGAGCTACTTTAAATTTAGGCAGTTGTGTGCTGACTTCCATTTTACATGAATTTGAATGTGCCTGGTTAATACCGAAGTTAGCCACGGCGCCAGTTATAAGAGGCTGTGAACATTTGTACAACCATAGCAGAGTCAGAATCTGAATCATCTTGATTGGCCAAGTATGTAGAGCACACAAGGAGTTTGTCTCCGGTTATACAGGCTACACTAGTATCGTCATAACAAGCAACAACGATAAACAAAGACATGACATAAGTATCGAAAGACTTTCCATAATGTAAAGGTACCACTGTGAAGCCGTACCACCCAATGACAGCTGTGCGACAAGGCGCAGAGTCACCGAGCAGAGATCAAGTGATCAGTGGTGTGCAATACAATACTATGACGGTTGTGCAGTTGGTGCAGATCATCGTTGCGCCAATTTTTTAAGTGACCAGTCGCAATAATTGTAGGACAACAGAAAGTCCTTAAGCGCTTTAAAGTGTCTGGTTTTGGTGCGCATGGTTGGGTAACGTTTGCCTGAAGGGAGTAGCTGGAAAAGGTGGTGGGCAGGGTGTCGGGGGTCCAGTAGGATTTTCCATGCCCTTGCCTTGGTTCTTGTGGTGTGCAAGTCCTACAGGTTAAAGGTCATTTTAATGGTGAAAATGTGTACTACTAATTTGTATTGGTCTTTATATATATATAAAAGCTGTAATTTGAACAGGGTCATGTAGACTTTATATATCCACAGTAGGTTAAGGTTCAATCACTCTCATTGTCCCTCCCCCAAAGTATTACACTGACATTAATCCTCAGGAGGAAAAAAAAAAAAAGCTTAGTATCCCTAAGGGAGCATCTTCCCGATCACTGTCACCTCGACTTACTCAGTGAGCGAGTCCTTCAGCTCAAACCGTCGCCTAATCCGCCGCACATCTGTTACAGTTGTAATTTAGACCCATGTCACATGTCAGGGCGCTGGTTTTCAGCTTCGCCTTGAATCCATCAAGAGATCATGCGGCGTGGCTGAAGAGCCAGCCAACCTGTCCTGCCAAGTAGTTGTCGATTCTGAACAGAAAGGTTATACGAGTCAATCTTATCGGGTTTTTTTGTTGTTTTTTTTGTGTGTGTATGTTTGTTTGTTTTCCATTTGATTACTCAAGGTGACATTCATGACAAACTCGCTATTGATGATTTTAATACTGCAATCATATCAAAGCTAATGCTAAGTGTAAGAAAGGACAGTACTTTGAAACAGACTCTTAAGTCTATTCCACCATGCATTTTGTCATCTGTTGTCATACTTTGTATGTCCTTCTACAGTATCTCCTTTTTCCATTCCGACTGGCGCGGAGTTTGCTCTTTTCATGCATTACCTTGTGCTTTCTTTTTGAATTGCGGTTATTGATGTCTCGTTTTCTGTTTGTTGTTGATTCTCTTATTCAATTCCTCACATTCTTTGTTTCCTGTCTGGACAAAAGCTCCTCCGGCTCTTTTCCTCCAAGGTATATTGCCTGTGTCTAACTGCATGTTTCTGCTGCAATTTTTATTTATTTATTTTTTGTAGGGGGAGGGGGGAGGGGGTTGATCCTTCAAGCACCATCCTGTTTTTCTGATCTACAGCAAAAATATGCATCTCTCAGTTCCCTCTTTATCTTACCTGCATTTTTATTATGCACCTCCTCATTTGATGAACAGTTTTCAGAAAAATGACATTGAAAGTGTTCTCTGCTGTGCACAGTGCGGAGGCAGCCAGCCAGCCAGACTCAAGCAGTTTCTTTTTTTTTTTTTTGTTTTTACAATTTAAATGAGCATCCTACTGATCCTCTACCGAAAGGAACATTAAGTCCAGGCCCAGCTTGGACTGCTTCTGGCTCCCTCTGTCCTGTTTCACTCTTGTCTTAACCAAAACGCGTTGCGGCTGCAAAAGCTTCCCCCCACGCCCCCGCCACCTCCCGTCCTGCCAGTGAGACTTTACCTCTGTGTTCGTTGGGCTTCTCAACCTGACACTTCTACAGAGTCAGCAGAGCCTTAACAGACTGAAACAGACAACCCCCCCACAAAGTGTTGAGACTAATTAGAGGTGCGTTTAAATATCAGGTAAGACGTAAGGAAGGTGGAAGGGAGCGAGCAACAATCCAAATTTCCACATGCACTATATGGACAGCGGTCTCCTTCAGTTTGCAGTTCAGCTGTGACCAAGGTTGAATACGTACGGAACACTTCATGTTTCGGGGGTGGGCATCTCAAACAGTTCCCCGAACCCACCCGGGCACTGAACTTTGTGTTTTAAGGGTGAGCCCAGAAACGTGACAAAAGGAAACACACGATACTGTCAGTGAGTGTGTCCTATCACAACCAATGCAGATCGAGCACTATTGAGAGCTTTTCCTTTTGGCTCAGCTCTCTCATCACTTAGATGGTGCAAAGCACAGATCCCGTACACATCCATGTTGCCCTCACTTGTGCATGAACAAGGCCCCGTGATACTTGAACTCCTCAACCTGAGACAGGACTTCTTTCCCAACCCGAATGGCACAATTGACCCTTTGCCGACCTCAGAGTTGGAGGAGCAGATTCTTATTCCGATATCTTTGGGAAAACTCATTACTAGGCCTTTTTTTTTTTTTTTTCCTAAGATGACCTGACAAACGTTTTTTCTGGATCATGAAAAAATGACAACAGCTACTCCAAGTGTTGTAGAATGTCATAAAATGCTTGCTTGGGTATTATTTCTCCTAATTGGGGAAAAAGAAGCATTTTCCCATTTGCCAATACCTGTGTCCATATAGTGTACAAACGTGCTTTTCAAAGCAGAGGTCTTTCCCCCCCCAAATCGCTTTGGAACCGAATTTCAGCCAAGCCGAGTGGGTACTTAAACATCCCGTCAAAAGTGTCACACAGAATTTCCCCTTCTTGTTTTCTGAGAGGTTGTCTATTGTTCAGTCAGTTAAAGTTGCCAACGTCAGTGTGTTGCTCCTTTGTTTTGGTTTTTTTTTTTTTTTTTTTGGGTTGTTGTTTTGTTTGCTAACACCAACCCAGCACAGCCCGGCGTGAGCGGGACATCGCTAATGCTCCTTCTGCTTGAGCTTCCACTCATTGCTCCGCCTCCGGTTCTAAACCAATCCCCTTTGAGAACGAAGTCATAACCTGCTCGCCGTAATCCCCTCATTAACTCAACATACTGTCCGTTCATTTGGACTCGACCAAAAAAAAAAAAAAAAATTACTAAGTGCTCAAAGCAACCCATATGCTGTTTTCCATATGGGGTTATGTGTCGTTTTCAAAAGGGACAATGGGTTTGTGCACAAGTGCTGGGCTAAATGAGGCTGTAGGGAATCATCTGTCAAGTCAAGTTGAAGTATTCTCAGCTCATTTAAGGACGCATGCAAACAGCAGGATGGCATTTTCGAACAACCGGCAACGTTTCTTACGTTGCTGTGACCATGGCCTAAGGTAGACATCAATCAATAATCATTTTTAAGATACATTGGAATCTTAGGCAGGGACTATTTTCGGGAATGTTTTTAATATATCACCAGAGAACACAAAGAAAGAAGAAGAAAAAAAAATTCACAAGCTGAGAAGCCGTGACGTGAAATGCTGCTTGAGCTTTTTGCGATGCTCGACATGCCGAGTCTTTCTAGGAGACAGGTTTGACACCTCACTTTATCAGCAAGGTCGAGGATCTTTCCAATGCTGCCGAAGCATTTAATCTGCCAAACTGCTGGAATCCCAATTTATGCAACAGAAAGTGGCATGACTTTGAAGATAAAAAGTGGATGGAAATGGCATCTTCGAATACTCATTGTCTCCCTTGATAATGACAGACGCTGACATTTTTGTCCTACCGTATTTCCTCAGAATGGCGGGGGTTCGCGGATTATACTTAGCAATTGCTGATTAGAGGGGGCAAGGCATTTATTAAAAGGCAGACTTTTTTTTTCCTTACATAGGTCTACAGTAAATCATAATGCTTTGGAAAACCTGTCTCCACCTTGAAAGTAGTCTGTAAAAAAAAATCAAAACATTATCAGAGGGGTTTTCTTGGTTCACGAGGCATTTCCCGTTTTAAGGTTGCAATTTCACCTATAGTTAACATTTTACTATTATTTGAAAAAATGCCGAAAATAAATACAAAACAATCAAATGAATATGGATAAGTATTTATTCTTGTAGCGTGTAACGATGTCTTCTTGTATTCTGCAAGCAGTTGACATACCTCCATAGGTGCTGCTGTTCTGGTTAGCAGTCGAGTTATCATCAAGGGGGCTAATTACATATCGCTGACTCACGGCACCAAAAGAAAGTGGCAGCGCAAATGAGACCCCACAACCCCCATTTGTTTGGTTTTATGAGTAGGGCTGAATGATTTGGAAAAATAATCTATTTGCAATTTTTTTTTCCCCCTCAATATTGCGTTTGCAATTTAATTAGCGATAACTTTCAGCTTTCCATGTTTTTTTTTTTTTTTTACAAAGATAAACAAACCAGGAAATAATTTTTTGCATTAACGAAACACACTGGCCGATCACAGCTACAAATTTACAAAACTGATTTGCAAAATAAATCAGTAAATCATAAATTGGATGACAACAATAGTGCAAATGTGCGGCTTTCTCTCTTCATTTGATTTTTTTCCGAAAAAATGAAATGTTAAATGTCTGGCATATCCTACCACATCGCGAGGTGGATTTGGATCGGATGAATTGTTCAGTCCTACTCACGAAGGGTACCCGAGGCCCCGCCGCGGGTCCACGCGCTAACTGTCGGCTTCCTGTTTGAAAGCAGACGCCCACGGTGGACATCCGCCCGCGCTCGGCCACGGCCATCCAGATGAACAACGCCACGCACATGCAGGAGCGCGACGAGGAGTACGGCTACGAGTGTCTGGACGGGAAGGACTGCACCAGCTTCTTCTGCTGCTTCGAGGACTGTCGCTCGGGGGCGTGGCGGCACGGCCGCTTGCACATCCGCATCGCCAAGATTGACTCGTACGCGCGCATCTTCTTCCCCACGGCGTTCGGTCTCTTCAACCTGGTCTACTGGGTCTCCTATCTCTATCTTTAAGAGCGCACGTCCGGCCTTATCACCGCGCTCTTGACGCTGTGTGGGACATTTCTTCAAAGAGAGTCATCGGTTTTGGAGCGGCAGACGGCGCAAATCCTGTAGCATTACATTAAGCGGCATGACAAGATCGATCAACGCCGATTTGAAGTATTCCTGTGCGTGATAAGCTTCTGTTCACTGTGCCAACGCCTCCCATTTGGTTTGTTTTTGGTTTGTTTTGTTTTTCGTGGACCAATGGAAATGAAAGTGGTGAAATGGAAGGAATCACTGTGCTGCAAAGTGTCAAGCACTTTAAAAGTGTCACAATTAGGGATGGGCATTTGGTGACACTTCAGATGGGGCGCTGAACCAGCCCATGAACCAAATTCAATTGTTTCGATATCGCGCCTGTGTTAGTTGCAGCCGGGTAGCGCGCTCCATTTCACCGTAGCCGCTTCAAATCCACCTAATTCGTCACCACCAATTAATCAATTACGATGCCCATCCCTAATTGAAGCAGGTTTTAATTTGGCCAATGCGATTGCGCAACAAATCGTCTACCATTTTTATGTGTGCAGTCAAAGCGACGGCGGCGACGTTGTTTATGGACAACTGTACAAATACTGTAAATATTTTACTACTGGATAGTGTGTTTATATTTATTGCATGCACCTTTCAAGGCCAGGAAGAAAAAAATACACGTATTTTTGTCGGGTATTGCTGGGTATCATTCAGGGGTTGAAAAAAAAATCTTTACATTCAGGTGGAAAGGTTAGCTCCACGTTTGTTTTTTTGTTTGTTTTTTTTTCCTCACAGCTTTCAACACAAGCAACATTTTCTGTTAAAAGCCAAGATTTGCATAATGTGTTCTCTGTATGCAAGAAGACACACAAGCAAAGGTACTTTTGTCTCTGTGCGCTTGCCCTTCACTGCTTGTGAGAAAAAAAAAAAAAAAAACGCAACATCACAAAGACGACCTCGTAACTCATCAACATTCCAAAGCGGATGTCAGTGCAGATACCGGAGGATCGTTTGTGGAGCTCACTTCGAAGATGACACAAAACACAAAGCTGTGAAAGCCTTATTGCGGAGCCTCTCACTTCGTGCTTGTTGGAGCCGAAAAGTCCCAAATGTTTTGTTCCTCCGATCCGTTTGCTTTGAATGGTGTGGTGCTGAGAGAAGACGCAAATGAAAGCGTTGTAAATGTTGTGTATCATGTCGTGTAATATATAAACGCACTGAAGACATGGGGAAGGTGGGGGGGAGAGGCGTGTTTTTGATAGATCGGGGCAATAACACTCGTCAACAATTTTTTTATCGGAGATGCCTGTAAACTTAGATTTTTTTTTTTTGGGCGTTACGAATTTAACGCTTCCCTCAGTTTTTCTCTAGCACATCAGGTTTTCATCATAATAAAATGGATAATACAGTAATACATTTAGTAATGTTTGCAAATAGGAATTCCTTTCTAGCTATAAATTTGTTTTGGGTCAAAACTTAAAAATAAAATTACAATATCGCAAAAAAAAAAAAAAAAAGGATGTGCTAGAACATACGAAAAAGCATTTTTAATACAGCATCAAAAATAGGTACATAAAGGCATCTCTGATTAAAATTTTCTGTTGACCAGTGTCATGGCACAAAAACGCATCTGTAAATGCCGTTCTGATGTATATAAATTATGAAAAGAAGAAAACCCTTCTGATTTTCTAGAAAAAAAAACAAAGAAAAAGAAATGAAAAGGGTCTATATAAAATATATATTTTGTAATTTCAGCTTGCCACATTATATAAAATGACAGTATATTAGACTTATTTAATGCCATAGAATAATCCAACGGTGGGGGTATTTATTTATCTATTTATTGTATTTATTTCATGGAAATAAATTGTACTTATGTTCATATCGTCTTCAAAAAAAGTACATTTATGCATTCGTAAAGGGTGCATTTTTTGTTTTTTTTTAGTCGGTCTGTCAATGGAGCTTTCGCTAAACTTCTCTTCTTGTTTCTCTTGTTCTTTCTATGTTGTGGTCAATGTTTTCACCAAGGTCTGTCCTTGTTTGCTCAAATGTGACTCTGCTTTTATGGAGCTTCAGCATCACTGAAGGGGGGGGGGCATTGTTTCATTGATTTTTTTTTTCTTTTCTTTTATTCAGCATTTGTCAACCTTCTCCAACATGGGTGGGGAACCATTTTTCTTATCAGCGGCGAGTTCCGTATTTTATAAAGTCCTCAAAAGGCCACACAGATTTTCTGAAAAAAAAAAAAAAAAAAAAAAAGAAATCATCCAACAAATGCTTTTTATTTGCTTGTACTAGAAGCTTCTTTAGAAAACAAAAAAAACAAATATTAGGTTGTCGGCCATCATTCATGGTTTCCTGTACGTTTTGAATCTTGTGTTCCAAAACTGCCACGCTAGTTGTCTACTCTCAACCACTATGGTGTCCTCTTTACACGACTGCTCTTCATCCGTGTGTTGTGCTTTGAGTGCTACAGACTTAAATACTAATCTGACACACTGCAATGTCGAAAAAAAATAAACGACATATCATTTTTGGTTGTACAAGTGTTTGTGGGGTGGTTTCAAATCTCAAAGGCGACAGTGACACGTGACTTTGCACTGCAACTTGTCATTATTCTTACATTCCGGATCGGGAGAGATGACAACAACAACAAAAAAAAAGAAAATTAAATATTCCACATTTCACACAGTTGTATTTTATTCACCATGTGTCAAATGTAAAGAAGTGGGGATTGCCATGAAGTGTGTGCATGTTGAATGTTTAGTTTCACTTGCAGGAAGTTCATGGAATAGGACCAAATCAGTTTGTCTCTACACTGTATTTATTTTGTGGTTTATTTTAGGAGCACACAAAACATTTTCGACTGCTATCGATGTTGAAAAACAATAATGGTAAAAAAAAAAATAACCATAAGCATTATAAAAAGGTGTCACTGAGCAAAATGGATCGAATTCTCCTGCTTATGTAAGTTATTTGGTATCTATGTAATCCTTGGGTTGTGTGAACAAGAAAAAAAAAAAAAAAAAAAAAGGGGGGGGGGGCACAGCGTCTGCATAGTCTCCAAACATGTCCTTTTCATAAGAGAATTGCACATAGCTGTGAAATTTTACAATAAAATTGGTGCATTTATCTTCGTGTGACATTATTGTACTGGAGATATTTCAGCCACATGCTGTGTAGAAATTGTGTTTCAATGAATGAGATACACGTTGAAAAGGAGTACGGTTCAAAGCAGGACACAAAGATTTAGAGTCGAGCAACTTGAGTATAAAACCACGTCGTGCCGCAACGTTGTGGAGCACTTTGGTCAACTGCAACGTAATTAAAGACGAGACGAAGAGGCAGAGAAGGTCCCCAACAGGTCTCAAGTAACAGTTGCTGACACAGAGCAAAGATTACATTCCTGTCAGTAATTGAATATTTTTTGTTTGTACGTGTTGCTGCTCCATGTTTTGTTCCAGATGTTTTGAATGATATGCTAATCTATGCTAATATCCGTTCGCTTTGATAGAATGTTTTGTATCAGGCTACGTGTTAGCATTACGCTCGTCGGATTTTTTGGACAAAATTAAATGGTTTGGTTTAATTCTATGAAGGAACACATTAGGCTAGCGGTTTTCAAGACTGTCTTTCAGTTCTAAGGTTTGGGGTTTCACAAAGCACAAGGACAAAGCACTCTAGAAAATCGAAAGATTTTCTATGAAAGTTCGATTTTGCTTCTATTATCATCACACTTCCTCTTTGCCATCACGAGTATACCTTCTTTGGGGACGTAAAAAATGATATTGACAGATCTTTTAAGTGAGTGTTTCCAAAGACAGCTCTTTGTCATTCGGTCCTGTTTAATCAATTTTATCCAGCCAAGTCAAAGTCAAACCGGTGTCCCATTGTCCCTCTGTGTCCCTTGCAGAACAGGCACTTGTGGCTCGGCTAGCCCGGGTGGCAGCTTCAGAAGAGAGCCAATGAAGCGGCCGCACGACGCGATTTCATCAACTTCGCTTCTTCAGCGGGCGACCCAGTGCAGAGATTTGCAGGCGTATTATTAATAATGCATCCGGCGCATGAATCATCTCTCTGGGCTTTGTTCTCATACTTTCATCACCATGTGTGTCTTTACACAGTATGACTCGACTCAACTTTGGTGTAGTTTTCCTCTCAAATGCGTAAAAAAAAAAAAAAAAAAGGACTATAAAAGAAAATACAAATCCCATGTAATACAAGCCGTACCCTGGATGAACTCAGGTGAATTAGTTGAACTCTGTGCCATGACAATGCGAGTATCACGATATATTGACGACATATCAATTTAAATTATCGGTACAATTATACTGTTTATTGTACAAACAATTCTGAGGACATTTATTAAATCATTTTAAATAGGAATGTGTATCTAACAACACACAAATACAGTATGCCATGACATTTGAGTATGTTGTTCTTGCGCAAGGAAGAACGTTCGAGATCATACTGGCTTCGCACAAGCCCCACGAAGCTTCCAAAATGGAAATTTGTGGCTTCTTTTTTTATTGTTTCAAAAAGGAAATACAGAAGGGTCGGAAAGGTCGCTGAAGTTCGAAAAACGTATTGTCGCATGCCTTCGCTTGACTCGCATTATCATTCAGTGTTTTTCATGGTAATAGTCCTTGACTCATTTTTAAACTGATATGAGCGGTAAGAATGTTAAAATTTTCGTTGAGACCGCTTGACCAGAAAAAGCTTATTTTTGCGTTTTGCTATGTTTTGAGAAAAAATATGTCATCGAAACCAGAAATAATTAGTTGTTGATCAGCGTTTTCGATTGCTTTCATCTTTGCTACTGTTTTGTCCAGCAAGTACTTGATGTTCAAAGAGAGAAAAGTCCAAAACTACATTTAGAGATGCGTGAATGCCCGCAAGATGCACCTGGACCAACTTTGAATACATTGAGGAGGATAGATAGTTTTGTAATTTTCTCACTGGACAGCGAAAGTCAACTTTTTGGTCATACCAACCGTACCTTCGATGATGATCTTTAACAAACGTACTGATGGCCTAGGTCCCATCAACACATAAGACGCTTCATTAGAGTTGACATTTATTAACAGTTGAACTGCTCATTTTATGACGCACGTCTTAAAATGTCACCCGTAACATAATTTGACCTTCCTCGGACATGAAGGCTGCGACATGTGACGCCAGCGACTCAAGTCAACATTTTTTCCCCCGCAGGTATTTCATTGTGAACAGTTCCAAGGTAATCCGCCGCGGCTCAGTAACATTGAGCAGGTCTAGGTTGCACAAGTCCCCCTTCCCGTAGCCAAAGACACAACATAAACACGGATTAATTACAGCGGCTTAACCGCCAAGACGCGCCGATCCGCAATCACCGCGGGCGGGATGATGAATTGGATGCTTATTGCACTGGGACCGTTGTTGGGCTTGTACATAAACACTGCAAAGTACGTCCACATTAGCAAGCCATCCCCCGGGGGGGGGACTCACACAAACCTTAAGCACAACCCGCGTCACCGTAATCCCCGACATGTCCTCACCTTTTGAATCAATGGGTAGGTGCATTTCGCGGGCCTGGAGTGATCTGCTTGAAATGCAGCATGCACACCTGAGAATTCAGTCGGATGTTGCACAGCGCAATAAAGCGCAAACATTTTCAAAAATGTCATCGTGAGATGCTGCTGGCGTTATCATTTGAAAGCTGTGAGGCATGCTGTTTGGGTTTGACTTGACTTTCTTACTTGCAGCATTCAATCAATACAAAGGTGGTTACATAGTGCGCCATAAAAAAGAAAATCACCTCAGTGGAATTCTTTTTTGATGGCAATTTATTCCTAGGTCTATATGCTGCACCTTATGTGGCAGGAGCAGCCTTGCAAAACAAGTTTTTCTGTCCCAAATTGCGGCTGAGCACTAATAGGCCATCACAGTCCAGCAGGAGTACAATTTGTTTGATCCAAAGCGATTTTCCACCAAAACAAGATCTGTTGTTCACAAACTATGCAGCAGAAGGCCTGCTGCCGCTACTCCTGATGAAAACACCAAACTCCCGAGAGCAAACATTCTTGCAAAGCAAGGAAAATCCATCAGCAGCTTGATTAAGTAGATTCCTTCCGAGAGTTGCAAAGCTTTACCCGTCTAACTTCGGGTTGCTCAAATATTCCAGCGGAAGATTTGTGATGCACAACAAACTGAAGTCGGTCAATCCCGGGCGTTGCACAAAAATCTGCTCTCGAAGTTATCAATGTTCATAGTCACATGACTTCCCCTTCGTGGATTGTCGAGAACAGACCGAAACTTGCTCTGCATTTCATCGACAAAATATTCAGTATCCAATCACATTTCTACTTCTTTTTTTTTTTTTTTGCTGATCCATTTGACCTTGTTTCTAGCACCACATGGTCAAATGCTGCGCTTGTTACCTGACGTTTTTATCAAATCAATTATTTACCATCTGATGTCTTAAAAAAGAAAATG